CCTCTCCGTGCGCCTGCGGCCTCCCCACGCAGGCCCGGAATACCTGCCTCGAACCCACCTGGTGTCGTCGGCCACGTTCCTGACAAACAGAGACGTGTTGGGGGGGCGCAGGTAGCGGGACATGACGGCGGCGTGAGTCTCGGCCGAGGGCACTAACGGGATCGGCAACCCGTCCGCGGCTCCGGCGGCGGCTCCTCAGACACACACAGCTGGAGGGCTCCGCTACGGCAACGGCCTCCTCTCGCGATACTTCACTCCCGCCTCCACTCCCCCCCACCTCCGCGCGACGCCGGGGCCCGCAACGGTTCTTTTCCGCGAGATCACCAGGTGTGCGCCTGCGCATGCGGAGGGCTGGCGCACGCGCAGCAGCCTCGGTCCCATTCATTGGCTTCTTGCTATGCCTGTTCCCCTCCCCCCGGCCTGGTCTTTCTTTCTTTAGATGTTCACTTTCCCGCCCTTTTTTGCTTGCTATCCCCACCCCCGTCGCCCCCCAAATCAGGAAGCAGTTGTTTTAATCCCTAGGTCAAACTTTACAGTTATTACTAAGTGGACGGATTTTTTGACATTATAATTCAGAGAGCATGCCCTAAAATTTCCTGGCTGGTCCAGTTATGCCCTGGCTTTTATCAGATACCTGACCAGCAAGAGAAGAATTTACAGCTTCTTGTGTTGGACCTGAAAAGGAAGGAGGCGTGTGATCTTGCAGAGAGCTGGGCCTGTTTCAGCAGCTGCAGGCACACTCCCGCACACACCATCGCCCCGCTCACTTGCAGTTCCAGTTGGACCCAGAACTGACACTGGTCTCCCGTGTCACCTACAGTCTATTCTTTGTTACTAATGACTTCCTGAATGTGTATCAGTCCTGTATTATCCCCAAAGAGCTCATTCATTCATTCATTCATTCGAGACGAGGTCTTGCTGTGTTGCCTAGACTGGTCTTGAACTTCTAGCTTCAGGCAGCCTTCTGCCTCAGCCTCCCAAAGTGCTAGAATTACAGGAATGGACCAACATCCCCAGCCCGAAAAAGCTGAGGTTTTTTTTCTTTTTTTTAAACTGTGGATTATACCTATTAATATTTGCTGAATTAGAACTTCAAGTGGAAAAAAGCTTAAGACATTCCATCAACCTTTGTTATGCATCTTATCTTGTACCATCTGGAAAACTCCACATTTGTGAAAGATTGAGCATAAAAGCAGCATATAATCTTTAGTGTAGTTTTGACCTTAGAGACCCTCTTGAGAACCATTCCCCTGTACTATCAGACTCAAGTTGTGGAGACGAGGGACCTGCCATTAGAATGCATTTGGCATGTCACATAGTGCCAAGAAGACAGCAGGGACGCAAGTATTGTTTAGTTAAATGAGCTTGTATTTAATAAAAGGTCATGAAAGCACTATTTTTGCATCAAGCAGCATCCAAGGAAATTCAGTGATTTGACACAGGTAGTAATAGTCTGTAGCACTTGGTGGCAGAGCTATTGTTTCTACATTTTTTTTTTTTTTTTT